CAGTATTTCAAGCAAAGTCAAGGTCATCAACTTTTCAGTCTGTTCCTCTATCAAATAATTCTTTCCAATAGAACATTTCTCCAAATGTTTAGCTGCAGTCTGCTCTCATATATTTTCCATCCACTGGGTCTGATTCTATTCTCAAGAACACCAGTTGTGTTCCATTTTCTGCATAGCAGCCTCGCTGGTACTTACAAACATTCCTGACTGGCTTGTTTTCCATCCGGGTCACTTTTATTAAGAAACAATCCAGCTGTATAATTCTGCTCGTAAGAACTAGCAACATTACAAGTGTCCTACTTCTGAACAAAAAATTAGCCTTCATCTCCTTTTTACCCAAATGATGGGGTTTTAGTCTTGTAACTCACTAGCTAAACCAGGGCTGGATACTAGTCTGTAGAAATCTATATTGGCTAGCTTTTGTCAAAGGCCAGAACATCTGGGCAGTGTGCAGCCACTAGGTGTCAGCATTGTTTAAACATACCTTTGGGTTTCTCTCAAAGCATACTCAGAGGTGTGTGTAAATTAAGGCTATCAGGTCTGGCTGCAGAGATCCAAATGGCTACTAGCTGTCAGAAAAGAGATACAGAAAGAATTGCTTATTTGCCACCATCTACTGGTTGTCCAGATTTGGTAATTCTAGTTGAAATCCTTTCACAAAGGAAACAATTTTTTCTCCCCAACTGATTTTGCCATCTTGATTCTAAAACGGGAATTGAATTTCTGTGCAAATCTCTAATGCTAACAAACTAAGCTTCAAGACTTTTGCCTCTCCTTCTTGCCCTAATGCTACACAGGAATTGTAGTTAGATAACTATACACCAGCCTACAGGGTTATTCTAATACAGGTAGTCCTCACTTAGTGACTGCCTCATTTGGTAACCATTCAAAGTTATGATGGTCCTTAAAAAAAATACCTTAGCCACCAGTCCTTGCATTTACAACCTTTGCAGAGTCTCTTTGCTCTTATTTTCTCTTGCTTACTTATCCCATACCAAGATGTCCTCAAAGAGAAAGAACCCCAGTTCAGCTGAAGGAAGAAGCGAGAAACAAAGGAAAACTGAAGTAAAATCATAAGTATGGTCATGGTCACATGATTTTCACTTAGCAACAGCCTCTCTTAACAACCAATTTGCTGCCCCAATTGCGGTCGCTAAAGAAGGACTACCCGTAAGAAACATGATCCATTCTAGTTTGTCCAACAAATATCACTGAGCTTTGGGAATGAGGCTCTTCAATGTGATTAGAACACTTTGGAGAAGGTCCTCCCTGGAACTGGACTGCTATTAGCACTCAACTACATTATCTACTCCATATCTTTCCAAAAGAGGAAATCTGTGAGCCTGGCAAAGGGTGAGAAAGCAGTTGCTTGAGAGTCCTCCCATCAAGCAGCAACTCCAAGAGCTGTCATTCAGATGAATTCCATCAAGGCAGTCCTTCCCAAACCTGGATGAATTACCCAGAATTGGGTAAATGTGGTTTTTCTTAGGTAACAACACATGAACCCAACAGCGACATTTAAATTGACTTCAAGATTGCCACGTGTACTAAAATATATTTGAAAATCTTCCAAAGTATTCCTACTAAGATGAAAATCAATGAAATTACTGATGGTAATTTGTTGAAATGACATAAAGATCATTCAATTATATTTTTTTATAATACAGTTAGTCCTCAAATTATGACCATTTGTTTAGCGACTGTTCGAAGTTAGGGTTTTGGGTAATGAACGAAAAGGTTTGGGAAGCACTGCATCAAGGAGACCTTTGGAATCAGGGAGAGCACCCTGTACCTTCTCCAAAGGGGAAAGGTGCAGTCAGACAATGTACCCAAAAGGTACTACTTGAAAGCACTTGCAGATTGATCTTCCAGTTCATCTTTGGAAAAACGGATAAGTGAGGAGAAATTCTAGAAGGGCACTATCCCAGGGTGTAACCAGGATCTTCAGTGCTGGCTGTTCAGTGAGAGGAAGAATGATGGGCCTTACCTCAGGATTGTAGGCCAGATGAAGCTACAGGCCAGAAATGTTCCTTCCCTGCTTAAGGATTACAGATAATGTGACTTGCATTTCTGAGTCCTACAAAAATGGATGTGGGTTAAACTGGTGTTTGCCTTGGAAATAAAAAAAATACTATTCCCAGTGTGTATTAGCTAGATCCTAGGCACAGCCAGATACTTATGTTAAAGTGCAATTTTCCAGGCCTACCAGAGCTGGCAGAAAAAGGACGCTTCATAAATTTTCTGACCCGACAAGCTAAACCCTATTTGCTTCAGTATTGAGGCTGGTGAGTGGCACACATGAAGGCTGTGGAAGCTGACTGTCTGTTCTCTCTCCTGTGGCCCAAGACAAAATGAACACATAGAGTAATGCCCAGCAACCATGCCCTCATCAGGGCCCAGCAGCAACCACGCCTCAGCAAGGAGGGAAGATGCCTGCAGCAGCTTAAAGTGGGCAGTAGGATCCCCATCACTGTAACATGAAATCAATCATATCTACAGCAAACTAATCTTATTCATCATTTCCAGGGCAAAATTGTCTTACCAGAAAAGGGGAATCACTCATTTAAAACCAGAGTAGCTAAAGATAACTTTAAGCTGCTCAGATGAACACAGATGAAGCAAAGGGAGCATCATGAGAACATACCGGTTACTATTCTGTGGTTGCGGGGACCTGAGGAGAAAAAATATTTTTTCCCAGTTCTCCTTTTCCATAGATATGTTTATACAGCCTTCCTCTAAAGAGCTTGGATGGCAATCTTTCTCTCTCTTTCTCCCTTTATCATCCTGACAACCTTGAGTGTACAGTTTGTTCAGGTAGTGGTGATCAAGTTCATCCCATGAGTCTCATGTTGCCTTTTTTTTTTTTCAGGAAATATAAATGAAACAAGGTTTCCTTTTAGGGTATGTTAGAGAAATTTCACACCATTTTAAATATAAGTCTTGGATTTTTTAGAAAATGCCAGCATCTTTGCTGTTTCCTCTCCTCTAACTGGATGCTTAGCTAACATCCCAGCAATTGTTTAATAAATGAATAACTGTTGTCATGGCTGCTGTGGCAAAGCAAAGAACAACAACCCTCAGATTGAATGAGCATGATTCATTCTTAAGTTTCTTTCCATCAACGGCTCTTCTGTACTCAGAGGCAAAATGGCAGGCGGCCAGATTTTCCAAAGTCCTCAACGAGGTGGAGAGTCTTAATAGACGAGGAAGGCCAGTGAATGAGGCAAAACGAGCTGGCATCCTTTCCCTCGGTGTGCACAGCGTATTTTCTAGTACTAGTAAAATACTAGAAAGGGCTAATATGTTCATCCAACACAGTGACAGTTACTCATGAGAGATGTCTACCTAGGCACACATAGGAATATGTGAAGTAACTGAAGGTAAGAATAATTCAACTCTGACTTTTAGCCTCTGTTAATACTGATACTGACCTTTTAACTGTCCATCCATTCTAATTAAAGGACAAATATTTATTAAAAATAGAGAACGAAAAGTTTGTTTTAAACAAGCCAGAAATGACTGTGCATTCCATAGATTATTTACAGGGACACTTTCAATGTCTTGGACTAGTTCCCAGACTCATCTTTCTATTTTTGGCTCTGTTTGGTTCCAGCTGTGTAAGTGAAAGTGAGAATAACATTGTATTTCTAGATGTAACTGTAATAATTCTTGGAAGATATACCTGGAAATGTCTCTCCCAAATGGTGTATATATCTCTTGGGTGCCAAGAGATTAAATTAAGTGAAGTGAGAGAAGTCTTCTGCTTTGTATTCCACCCTGCAGGCATCTCTGCTTTTCCTCCAAATTTCTTTGGGCAGACTGGGGGCTTCCTGAATAATATGAGATGGTTTGTGGAGGCTGCTCATGAGGAAGAAATTACTAACTTGGGCAAAACTCAATGGGATATCATTGAAGAAGTGAGGCAGGTAGAATAATCTTACTTTTGGCACAGAGGAGACTAATTCAGTGAAGAAAAAATGCCAGCTGCATCAATAGTCCTCATGGTTCTATCGCTACCTTGATTAACTCCTGGAATGCACCATCTTGCAACAGCAACAGCACACACCCACACTGTCAGAAATTTTACTGGTGTATGAGTAAATTCCCTGTTCCTGAGTGACAGGAATCAAATCAAAAGATAAACACAAGAAGTTTATAAGTGCCCCCTTTTATTAGCAGGATTCATGACTTCTTAAAGCCTTGCTATGTGCCATAAAGTCGCAGGTGCCTGTTGCTCTGCACAAAGGTGCATTGAGTGATAAGGAATTATCCAGCTACTCTAAGGATGAAGAGTTATGTCCATTTACCATTTAAGCTTGTTTTACTATTAAATTTCTACCCTGCATCTCAGTTTATATAAACGCTCAGCCCACCAGGAAGACCAGACCAAGAAATCAACTCCACAGGATTGCTGAACGTACTTTTATTGAGATTGGCTATAACAGAAACTTGCAAATTCTGTTTAATAACAGAATAGTGCTATACCGCCTCCTCCTCCTTATACTTCTGTGAATTAGGGAGGTGTCTTTCTGAGGCACTCACGTACACTATCTGTCTGTTGTGGACTTAAAATATTTTTTACCTTTCATTGCCCTAGTAACGGATCTTGCATTTCTCCATCAAGTTCATTTGCCTTACTCTCTACAGCAGCTATCAATAATTATATTTCAGTTTCCCCCAAGTTCTCTCCATTCCTTCAACTCACTGGGGATTCAAAATGCTGGCAGCCACAGACTTCCACCCATTTCATCCCAAGTCTGGTACTGGTGTTCCTGTGAACACATGCAGTCAGGGACATCTGCAAAGGGGCAGAGTGACAGCATGCATACCATGATGTCATTGCACAAATTAGGTAAATGTTATACTGGGCATCATTTGCATCATGACATCATGACACAACTGAGGCAAATTATGTCATTTCCCAAATGAAATCTTGACACATGTGATGCCATAATGTCTTCTGCTAGACACTTGTGATACAACACAAACTTCTGTGTCAGATTTCAGATGGCCTTTGCATGTATAACTGCATGAAGTTTGCCTGCTGAATTTTGTCAGGTTGCAGGAACACTTACACCAGATATGGACTGTAAGGTTGGAGCTACACAGCATCCAGATCAGGTACAGACTTCCTGTTAAGATTGCACTTCTGAACTGAACTTCAGTTTCTCATTTTTCCAGTAGTTAACTCACTTTGTCTCTTTCACACCAATCTAAATGAAAATTTGCTGTGATTTTAATATTTGTATTCATGAACTATATACCTTTATTGCATTTTCATTGTTTTTTGAACAGTCCTAAAGCTGGGATTTTTATGACTTCTCCTTTCTGATAAAGTAGGATTTGGAATAAAGAAACCCAGCCAGAAAAAAAAAGCACAACATGAAAGCATATTGACGTCCTTTGTAGAATATCTGAGAAGTTGCCTATCATTGCTGCTATCTTCAGAGACCTTTCGGTGTTTCAGGATCTTCAGAAATATATTATCTGTTCAACTTCCTTCCAAAGGGGTTACCTCTAATGGACATCTGCAAGAGAGTGAAAATATTTGGATTGTAAAGATCTGTTTTACTGTTTTAAGATTTTTAATCATTTTGATTGATCCTATAGTGTTAATTCCTGCACTTCTGAAAAAAAGAAGTCAGTGCTGGATATAAAGTGAAGCTTTAAAATGTTACGCTATAATTTATTCTATTTATTGGTTGCCTGAGAAAAGAGGGAATGAATAGAGATGCTTTAAACATGTGACTTGTGTAAAATAATACATCTTCATTAGTAAATACCTTAATTGGTTTGAAGATTGATCAGTCCAGGTTTTTCTAAGAGGCTGAGCTCTTTCATTGTAGCTGAGTATGTTTCAAGCTCTCTGTTGTAACCTTTGAACTGATTTATGCAAGTGGCTTACTTTTAAATAGGATTATTTCCATCGTGCAATGTTTGTTGAGGTTGCATCATAGGTGTTCTTTGTTTTCACAGAGAGCCAGAGTTATAAAAGAAGAGGAGGGCAAATACTGAAAGCCTTACACTGTTTCTTCATTTGCCTTGGTACAGAAAGCTGCCATCTGTCTACCATTGCTATATCTTTCCTAGTATTTTTATTTCCTGAGCCCTAAATTGCTTGGAGACTAAAGTGCAGAATTAGGCTAGCTGGATAATTCATTACTGAAAATAACATATTTTCATGGTTCCTCCTAAATTACCAGGCAACTTAGCCGTATCTGTAAAGACACATAATGTAGTAGGAACAATGACCTGCTGGTGGAACCAAAATTCTATAGGGCCTTAGTTTGCAGAAGGATATTTTAATTCTTGCTTGATTTCAGGGAAGGGTGCATTTCTGTCTGTGCGTTCATCTATAGCAGTGTTTCTCAACCTTGGGAACTTTAAGATGGGTGAACTTCAACTTCCAGAATTCCCCAGCCAGCAAGAACCCCAGCATGCTGGCTGGGGAATTCTGGGAGTTGAAGTCCACACATCTTCAAGCTGCCAAGGTTGAGAAACACTGATCTATATGCACTGCATTTCCTTGTGAACCTCCAAAAATGCTGGAGTGGATATATTTGCCCTGCCTACCCTATTTCTTTAAGAATTTATCTGTAGCACAAAGGTCATTTAGGTACTAAGAAATCATATGCTGTTACCATGGTAAGGCAGTGAACTGTTGCTATGGCAACATGGATTAGCTGAGCAAGTTGTTGTGTAAACTGAAACTGCAAACATATAGTGTCAAAATCATTTGCGGTATTAGTGATTCCATCCTCTTGAAAAACATTGATGCTTGAAGGAGTTTTGCAATATTATTTTTGGATTTTTTTAATTAGCATGGTTGAGCTGCTGATTAGAGCAGCTAACTATTCTATTTTTAAAAAATAGAGCTGTGAATATCCAGCTACCGTCCATCTGTCCTGTCAAAAACAACACATAACATGGGGCACTTTAAACCCTAACAAATGTATTGTGATATCCTCTTCTGTGGATGACACTCCACTTATCATACACATAAAAGAATATCCTGTTGAGTTACAAGGACAAACACCCAGCCAGGATAGGGAGTGTGGTCCCAGAGCATCAGTGTGCCCACAGACACTTCCATCGGTGCCTGCTAAGCGCCTGACATACTGGAGTTTAATTGTAAAGATTTAATTAAAAATAGTTAAAATGGAATCTGTCATGCTGCAGATGGTGTCATCTTTATTTACATCATCAGGTCAATGGGCCTCACATCAACCCCATATCCATTCTTAGAAAATAAAATGGTAAGTGTGGGGATTAAAAAGGGTCAAAGAGGAAGGGGAAAGAATAAAATGGCTAGAAAGAAGGGCGGAAGTCATAATTCTGTTTTCTTTCTTTCCTTCTTTTTTCATTTCATTTCTTTTTTCTTTTTCTTATTTTCTATATATAGCGGTAAGTGAATGTAACCTAATGCTTTCTTTCAGATGTACTCATCTGCACAGAAAAAGACAAAGAGGAGACAGGAGAAGATGGCAATGCAAACTTAGCCAATGACAGCCATTTTGTGACTGGACATACCTTGGGAGCCATTTTCAAGGGCATCCATAACATGTTCTCAATACTCAAAATGGCCCGGTTGGTCCCACATATATTCACTTGACTTGCAGGCGAAGCCGGAAACAATTAAGTACCCTGAGCTATGCATTAGATTTATATCTGACTCTACTCTTTGCCATCAGCTTCCCCACAAATCATGTGAACATTTATTTCTAGCTTAATAATATACTTCACACATCTCCTGAAGCAGAACAGACTACAGTAAGTCATGCCATAATTACCAGTGTTTAAAGTTATTATAGCAAATGCCGTTGTTTTGTTTCAGCTTCTTTGTATATTTTCCGAGATGCCACATTCATCCTTGAAATACGCCAAATAGGCACAATGGCTACAATCATATGTTTTTTCCCTTTTCATTTATTTTAAAAGAAAACCATTCATTCTGCTTCTGAGGCCTGTTATGCAGATAGCTAGCAGATGTCCATCACTTATCTCCATGCCAAGAAAAGTTCTTTCTAATTTATTTCGGTCTGTCAGGCTGCAACAAGAGAAGGACCAGTAAACGGGAAGTTTGCTTTGCAAGCCAAATTATTCAAACTTGTAAGAAAATATTTAAGTTTAAATTAATGGACTGCCTGAATGACACTAATTCTGAATATTGCATACATACACACAGTATTCAAAGGATTTTAAAAAAAACACACAAGTGTTTAAAAATTGGGTTGGCACCTGGCTTGCTGCAGGAATTATTAAAACAAAGGTTTATTGTGCTATTGCTCTCCTTAGTCATGGAACGATATGGGGATTCAGAAGTCATTTAAGTCTTCTACTACTTAATCTTCTTTTTTCTTCAAGAAAAAAAAAATCATGACATTGAAAAAGACAGAAGAGATGTCCTAAGTTTTTGGATTGTTAATGCCAGGAGGGAAATTCAGCTTGCCTGCTTTAAGAACATTATTGTAAGTTGATAACATTCTGTATTTACATAGTCCTTTTTGCCTAATACCATGAAAGGAAAGAGAGAGAGAGAGAGAGAGAGAGAGAGAGGGAAAATATGTATATGTGCGCAGATGAGTGACAGCATTCTTGCAAAGAAGCATTTCCTGGTTTAACATTCATAATCTCTATCAAAACAATTTCTGGAGAAAGGAAAAACTCTCTCTTTTTTGCATGCTGTCATATAGTTCTATAGTTTGCATGTAGAAGTCAGAGGTCCAGTGTAGAAATGGGAATTTTTCTTCTGTTCTGGTTCTGTATAAGGCAACTTCAGATGATCTTGCTACCTAGCACTGATCTTGGATTTGGGTCAGGACAGCTGATTTTTATCTATGTGCCTTGGTCTTCCACAACACCAAAATATAAGTTTTTCAGAATGAATCGTAAAGGATCTGAATGGTTTAAACTGACCATCTGAATTATTTGTGTATGTTTTTGAAATAGGCTTTTATTATTTTCTTTTTTTATTATTATGATTTTCCAGGAAAAGAATAATGCTGATACAAATGCACATTGAAAAGAATGTAGAAAATACAGTAAGGGGGAAAAAATAATATAAGCAATAAAATATGAGTGGATAACCAGCAAATCTCAACCAGCAGATCTAAACTAGCATATGGCAAATATAATGTAACACACCTTTATTTATTTATTTAGACTGATATGGCTGTTCATCTCACCAATGCAACTTTGGGCAGCTAACTAGAATTGAAATAAAATATAAATATATATTTTTAAAAAACACCTTACACTACTATAAGACGTTTCATACCCCATTTCTAGGCAAAAGATGTATCTAATGAATTGTACAAATATTTGGTTAACACAAATGAAATCAATAAAAGGAAAAAGAAAAGCTATAAATAGTAAACAATATATTGAAAGAATATTGTAAGTAACATGTAGATGATGTCAAATTAAAACATAATCTCTTGAACCCAACTTGTGATGTGGCACTAAACTGATCTTTTGGATATTTGGTTACTTCAGTCGAAGAGCTCTAAAGTTCAAAAGAAATTACAATTAGCCTCTTTTGTAATCAAACATTTTATTTGAGTTTTCATGAACAACGAATATTGTTATTTGAAGTCTACAGGCTGTTGGTACATTTTAGCAATTACCAACCTTTCTTCCGCTTGCTAGCCCAAGACAAATGCAAATTAATACAGACTGGAAAAATGGCTTTCTTTTGATGCTTACATTATGTGTTTATATAGGTATCTTTGATGTAAGTGATTTAAACCCTTTCCTTTTTTAAAAAGAATGTTACTATTTTATGAAATAGCATATTTCTAAATTGCATTTTCTTTTAATATAATTGTTTCAAATCTTTCTGAGTGTGAGTGAAAGGACAGTATGGCTACCGATGTGTTCATTAGTCCTTTCTTACATAATGTACAGGTAGTCCCCAGTTTAAGAACAAGTTCCGTTCCCAGGGTCTGTCCTTAAGTCAAATTTGCATGTAAGTTATTGTATAATGCTGTACAAGTAGTATTGTGTAATTAACCTGAACCATTGTGCATTTAACTTGAATTTTGTTACAATAGGCTCCGTTCTTAACTATGGGCTGTCTGTAACCCGGGCTTTCTTAACCTGGGGACTACTGTAAATGACAGTTAAATAGAGAAGGTTAGATCCAGGCAAAGGTGTTCACAACTGTGCTCAGGGGTAGCAACGTTGCCTCCCATCACCAATTATCTCCAGCAACACGTCCCTTTTCAAAATGAACTTGGCTCTGTATAGAGGAAAAAAAGTTAACACAAATATTTTATTGGAAAAAGACAAGCCAATTCTGAGCAGAAAAATAATCAGTGTGGCGACAAGATTAAGCATATCTCCTTCCTCTTCTGTAAATTTCCCATGTAGTATTGTAGTCAATTGCAAAAATTACTCTCTTGAAAAATTGCAGCTACATTGCATGGTGGGGAGATAGGCGGGTGGGGGGAGTTGCAGCACCCCTGAGGTCATATGTGCGGTCCGGCTGCCAAGTGCCCAAATTTTGATCATGTGACCACAGGGACGCTGCAATGGCCATAACTTTGGGCATGGGTTGTAAGTCCATTTTTTCAGTACTGCTGTAATTTCAAATGGTCACTGAATGAATGGTCATTAAGTGAGGACTACCTGTATATGACTATTATATATATTTTTAAATGCGATATATTTTAAAGAGCACCTCCCAACAACCCCCTAAAGCTACTCCCCCCTCAACACCCCTTCAAGACCCTCTCAACAATCCCCCAAGCTGCTATATTGTATTGCATTGCATTATTTACTAGAGCTTATATGTCACCTCAGTCCAGTGGCATTCTGAGTGGTGTATCATCTCTTCTTACAGTAAGAAGTTTAAACCAATAAAACAATATAACCAGAGCAACAATAACAAAATCTGTAGCAAAGAAAATTACTCAGACTCTGGCCACAAAGCAACAATAAATATCCAAAATAAACCAGGGTGGGGCTCCCAACTAATTCCAGATCCCTCTCAGATCTTTCTTAAAAAGCTACATTTTTACAGTTTTCCTAAAAGTCAACAGGGTGCAGGCTGATCTCATCTCAGGTTTACTGTATGATAAACTGTATCCTTAAAAAAAAGAAAAAAAAGTCTAAATCAAACTGAATAAAAGATAAAAAGAAGAAGAAAACCCTTAGAAAATAAACCAAAGGAAAAGAAAGATAAGAATCCAGAGGTTTCATGTTGGGGCACTCCTTTCACAATTCTAAATGATTTAGTTACCATTTTCTGTTCTAACTGTTGTTTCCTAGTCACCATGCAAATTCTTCAATAGGCAGATGATGCAGCCCAGTGCATTCAAGTTTTTAAAATCTATCCACAATTTATTATGTGGTCTACACATCAAAAGCCATAGTATAATTAATACAACAAAAATAAATACAGTTTTGGAATATCCCTTTTCCATTATCCACCAGATGTTTGCAATGTGATTCTGAGCGCTCCTGCTTCTTCTGAATCCAGCGTGTGCATCTGGCAGTTCTTGTTCCAAATACCGTTGAACTCCAGATTGCAAAATACTAGCATATTAAGAAAAATGAGTGAATGCTTGGATTAACATGCCAAATGGTTTTTGTTTTCTGTTTGTCTTGGGTGTGTTATTTCTGCCAATGCAAAGATGACTATATCTGACAGCAGTTCTAGTAACTCAAGGATATTACATTACACAAAGATTTAATAAAGGTATTGTGTAGTTTTATGCCATCTTCTGTACTTTGGACTAGCAAGATAAAAGAACAGATTCATCATTAGGAAAGGATATTTGACACATTTACGGAGTTTAAGGACATCAATGTTGCTAATCATGATAGTTATTTATTATCTTGCAAAGTCAAAAGAGTATGTCTTTTAATAATGGTTGCCGTAGAACATGAATAGCTTGTATATCTTTCTTGTGTACTAGATTGGGGAAAAGATAAGTGGATTTAGTATGAGCCAATACAGTCTTTGTGTGGATGTGAGTGTGTTTCTTATGATTGCAAAGAAACTTTTGTGACAAAAGGAGAGTCAGTGTCAAACTCTCTTCATCTTCCAGCAAAAAGGAGTAAGTTTAGACTTTATTCAATAACTGCTGCAGCTGGTTGCTTTAGTTAGTCTGGAAAGTTGTGGAGCCAGTATACTATGATATCATAAATTAATGCTGGGTTCACACATTACTCTAAGCCATAGTGTGGTTTGTTCACTTTTGATCTAGTATATCGGATGAATTCAACTATTGTAGCTTATTGACAAGCCATGGTTGTAACAAACTATGACTTAGTATGATGTGGGCAACTGCCACTAAATGGATGACCTTCACTAAATCAGGCATCTTCACAACCATATTCCTGGCCTTTTAAATGTAATTACCAAGATATTGCTATGCATTCTTTTGCCTTCAACAATTTGGTTGGTGTGGACTCTCGGTGGCCTCGGAAGGCTAGGACATATCTTTCTTCATCAGAATGCCTCTACAACTTAAAATAAAAACAAACTTCTTTTTATTTTCCAGTTAAGCCTTGATTTACCTATACAACAGATTTATTTTCTTCCTAACAGTTTTTAAAAATCATTTAGTTTTGTTGTTTGATAACCTGCTGCAAGATCAAGTCATATACTGCTCCTTTTTGTATATTTAGGGGCTAAATTTGATTTATTTATTTGTTCAATTTATATAGCCACCCATCTCACATATGTGACTCTGGCTGGCTTACAGAGTTGAAAACACAAGAAACAATACAAAAAATAACCAAAATCCTAAGAAAAAAAACTCAATTAAAAGACACTAAAACAACAAAAACTGTTAAAAAACATAAAAGCATAATCTGCGGGAGAGTGCCATTTTGCAGGCTCCACACTACCACTACCAGATCCCCAAGCCAGATATTTCTGGGCCCTTCCAGAAGGCCAGTATGGTTGGGGCCAGTATGACCTCAGGGGGAATGATGTTCCAAAGGGTGGGTGCCACTGCAGAAAAGGCTCTACTCCTGGGTCCTGTCAGATGACATCCCTTAATGGACGGGACCCATAACCTGCCCCTTTTGCTGGACCTGATGGGCCGGGTAGATTTACATTGGTAATGATGTTATGTCTTATTTTGTGATACACATTGTGTGCCTCTAATCATGACTAAATTCAATATGAAGTATGCTAGAGAAAAAACACTAGTCGGTCTGCAGTTTGGTAGATATTTTTACATTTAAAAAGGCTGGTTTTGCTTTGTTTAGATAACTTTGTTCTTCATTCCCTACCCCAGCCCCATATGCAAGTTAGTTTTAGTTATTACTGAAACAGTTATTTGTTTCATTTCTGCTGATTTACTTTTGGAACAGCAGGCGTGGAACTGGGCATTTTGTCCATCTAATTGCAGGTGTACAACAGCAGTGGCAGTGAGAGCAAAAGATATTCAAAGTCAGGACTGTAACAATACATGTCAAAAGAGCAGGTCAGTGCTGGCTTTCTCTGAACCATAAAATGTTGATGTAACAGGTTAATTGTTTCAAGAGCCAGCATGGTGTAGTGGTGAAGGTGCTGGACTCAGTGGGGAGACCCAGCTTGTAGTCCTCCCACAGGCATAGAAGCCAGCTGGTGACCTTGAACCTGGACCAGTCACTCACTCGCAATCTTAATCAGCATCAGGCTCTGTGTCAAGCTGGCTGAAAAATAAAAGCTCTCATCACATCATGGACCGATAGCTTTACAGTGTGAATTACGTGAGTACAGGAACAAGGAAACGCTGCAACCAAGCAGGGCAAATGAGAAGAGGAGGAGCAGGAGTAGGAGGAGGAATATTTCCCTTCAAAATGTTAGCTGCTAGATTCTCCCCTTCCCATCCCCCAAACACAGGACAAGAACCTTATGAGAAAGATCCTTGAATAAAGACAGATGAAAATCAGTGGAGACCTTCCATAAAGCTTGCTTGAATCAGCTGGACTTCCCAATACTAACTGTTCTGTGGAATGAATCCTAGTAGTTATTTTAACTTTTAAAAATACATTTTTAAAAATTTATAATTGCTTATGTAATTACTTTGGTAGACCCTGCATCCTAAGAGGTAGAATATAAGTGATTTTAAAGACTGCAGATCAGTTTGTTTATTTTGAAGAAAAGTAATGGATAAGTGCATGTTTCTTTAAATTTAATTTAAAAGAAACATACACTTTAAAAGAATTTGTCAATCATTTGCTGAGTAAATAAATTCCAGCTTAATACTGTCCTGTGGCAGAGTCACATCGTGTATCTCAGTACAGCATCTCATGTGTACTGCTAAAATGATAGACAAGCTTTTTGCAAGGAGTTCTATCACTTCCGGGTACTGGACATTTATAGGCCTGATCAGCAGAGATAGCAGCAGTCTGGCTGAATCTAACTTTTCTCTATTTTCTCTCTCTGACTATTTGGTTGGCATTATAGCTGCTTATCTTACCTGGCTACCCATGATGCTGACCATCATGGGTAAAAACACATTGATTTCTAGAGGATTCCCTATTGGACGATCAAGTCATATAACTTTTGAAGACATTGTGTACAGAGTAGCCTACAGCTATGTGAAACAAAGAAACAAATAAAAATCCAATGTATTCTTTACCTGAAGCAACAAGAACACTCAAAATTATCTGAAGGATGTCTTCTTCCCATTCTTAGAATGCTTATCATTTCCAAACATGCAAATATTTTGACCAGTTATTCCACATGATGCAGAGCAGTTAAGAAGACAGACTGCTACCACTATTATGAGAAGTGTTGCACATGCATGGATAAAAACCTATTATCATGAGCAGCCACAAGTGTGTGGTGCATATACTCACTTGACTTGTGGTTTCCTAATTATGTCCTGGCCCTGGACCCTATGAATTAGCAACCCTGGTATATTCTTCAAAATGATGGGATAATGTTGATCTTCAATGTGTATAATTTTTTTCTGAATATTCTTCTTTTCATTAACAGGGAAACATGCACACACTATACTTACAAACTTGATAAATAAGAAGAATGCATTGAAGAACAAGAAGAGCAAAAGTCAGCAAACAGAGAATAGGAAAGATATCACTGAACTATGCTATATAAAGAAAGTGAGTTCCCTGAGATACAAATGTAATGCATGTAACTTATTTAAGTTTAGATTTGTATCCATGTTTTTAAAATAAAATGATTAAATGGCCCTTCAGCTGACTAGATGGCCTTAGGAAGTCCAAATTTCTTCACCTAATGAACAGCAACTCAATATAAAAGTTATTTTCAAGGTGAAATTATGAACGGAGCTGACAGCATGGCAGACACAAATGGGGAAAGTAGGGATGGACAATAAAACCCTGTTTCACTGGGATTTGCTAGAAACTTAAAAAAATTATATATAGGAATGGCCAGATTGGAAGAGAAGATGGTTGGAATCAGAACAGGAGGCCGAAATGCTAACAATTGGAGATATCAAGACATGATTTTCATAAGCAAAAGTGAAAACACAGAATTAATCATGAAATAAACACAGAAATCTAGGCTAATGTCTATTAAGAACATAAAGCTGGTCAGCATGCTTAGTGAACTTACACTTGAAGAACTTAAGGCAGGAGACCACTTTATTTTCTCAGGCTGGAGAATCAGTAAAGATGGAGAAATAAAGATAAAAACTATAACATCCATGTAGCTTTCTTGGCAACAATACAAAATGGTATGCTAGTGCCTTCTTCTGGGATTTTTATGACTGCTCAACCTAGGCCG